CCCCAAAACCCCAAAACCCCAAAACCCCAAAACCCCACTGATCTGAAACTTAGTTGAATCTTATGGGAAAGAATCTAGATATGATCTTCAACAAGATTTTTATTTATGCATTTTCATAGTAACAGAAAATGTTGTGCATGTGACCTCCAAGTCCACCTCCGAGAGCGACTACCTTCTTTCCTGCTGGGACGATGTTCTCGAAGGGATCTCCTCCAGTTCCTCCAAAGTTATAAGACATTCCGTTGGAGAGAGTGATAGTAAGATTATCCATGACGTCTCCATGTCTTCCACTAATGCCTGTCACGTGATACCCGCCTAAAGCGATTGTTTGATTAACTGTAGTTGGAGTCATTTCTTTTCCAACATGGGTGCCTGGCTTGACCTCTACACCATCAGCCTTGTAAGTGGCTTCAATTCCAAATACAAGGTTTCCATCATGGAGAACATTGATGTTAGTCATCTCAAGATTGCTCTTTCCTTTTAGGTGAGATTCGTAATCATCAAATTTGCTAGTATCTGGGTGAGTCTTTCCTGCTTTATGAGATTTGGTGACTGGAGACTCGAGTTTTCCAAAGTGAGCTCCGATGGAGTGCAAATGTCCTCCGAATCCAACTGTAAATCCTTTCACTACTTTTCCTGGTTGAGAAAGTGTAAATGGATGACCTCCTGTCGAAGTTCCGAATTGTTGGCTTCTTCCCTTACTTGTATGAAGAGTGACCTGATCAATCAGATCACCGTTTCTTCCTGTTACCTTAGTGATGTGTTCATCATCTGCAAGTATGAAATCGCTGTAGACTGTTCCATGAGCGTACTCAGTTCCAAGTCTTGCTCCTGCAGAGACGCCGTCATAAAAACATTCAAATCCAACACAAAACTCGCTCCAGTAGACTCTGACTGCTGTAATCTTCTTAGGCATGATGCCACTGGAAGCCAAGACGTCCTCGTCCTTATAAGCAACTGTGTCAGGATGCTTTTTGCCTGCTTCATGATAATCGATGCTTGATGCTCCACCCATTTGTTGTTAAAAATCTTTAATTATTTTTAACTATTGCTTGGAGAATTTATAGTCTCAGATTACTCTATTCTAATTCCCATTCGTCAGGCAAATTTTCAATAGTGTCAACCAGTTTTGGGGTTTTGGGGTTTTGGGGTTTTGGGGTTTTGGGG